CACCTCCCAATGCGATCAATTATGTAAGTTTATTTATGTAAGTGCGTTTGTACGTGTATGTTTGGGGGTCTGAAATGGACTAATCTACTTCACAATATTCCTTATGGGAACAAATTCGGTCAGTACTGGCACCTGAACATACTCCTGGAATGAAAAAATATCGTTAACCGGGGGTCCACTGTATTTCCAAAATGGACGACTTTCAGGCCTTACGATTATTGAGGGACCACTGTACAGGTTTCCGCTTCACATGCATTTGGCAGGATGGTAGTACCTTCCTGGGTAGTTGCTGTCAACCAGCCTACTACATCTGAAGGAGGGGTGTTCATAAGTTGCAGTTTTATAACTGTATCGTAGGCACGCCTCTGGCAAGACAGTGATAAAGTGAATGATTATGAAAGCATTTTTTTTTTCTTTCCGGGTCACCATGCATTGGTAGGAAACAGCCGATGTATTAATAAAAAAAAGTAGTGTAAAATTACCTAGGATAACCCAAAAAAGTTTGACAAAATGACTTAGTGTCCATTGGGATTCATGTAATACCTTATTATTTAAACCTAAACCTTGAAAATTGAAACATTTAAGCAACTCAGCTGTGTGAAAATCAGTTACAGTACAAGGAGATACAATGGAAATAAGGTAAACTGAGGTATTTACATTAATATTAAAGAGAAGATCAGCTTACAATAATAGGTACATGAATGTTAGCTATACAAGAAATCACTTCCTTCTCTTTCTGTAGCTTCATTCATTAGGTATCTTTTAGCTCTCTTCCTGAGCTGGTTCATACTAGGACAGACTTTAGCATGTGCAGGCAGTCCATTTCACTCCTTTATTTCTATATAGTAAAAGGTTTTTGAGACCTGACCACCTATTGTGGACACTACAGAATTGTGGGGAAGTGACCTTTCTTATCTTCAGTATTCACTTAGTAATGAGTTAAGCCAGCACATATACTGAGTACATCTCTGCTCACTACATATTACTCTGGACTCAACTTTTACTCACAATTCAGTCTTCTACAGATTAACTAATTAAAGATAGTGAAAAGGAGTATATTATTCCTGAGGCACACATCAACCAAATAACTGCTGCAGCATATGGGCGCCTAGCAAATCTAGGAACAGCATTCCGACATCTTAATAAGGAATCGTTCAGGACCCTGTACACTGTGTACGTTAGGCCCATGTTGGAGTATGCGGCACCAGTTTGGAACCCACACGTAGCCAAGCATGTAAAGAAACTAGAGAAAGTGCAAAGGTTTGCAACTAGATTGGTCCCAGAGCTAAGGGGTATGTCCTTCGAGGAGAGGTTAAGGGAAATAAACCTGACGACACTGGAGGATGGGAGAGATAGGGGGGATATGATAACGACATACGAAATACTGAGAGGAATCGACAAGGTGGACAGAGACAGGATGTTCCAGAGATTGGACACAGCAACAAGAGGTCACAGTTGGAAGTTGAAGGCTCAGATGAATCACAGGGATGTTAGGAAGTTGCCAGGAAGTGGAATAGTTTGGGAAGTGATGTAGTGGAGGCAGGATCCATACATAGCTTTAGAAAGAGGTATGATAAAGCTCATGGAGCAGGAAGTGACCTAGTAGCGGCCAGCGAAGAGGCAGGGCCAGGAGCTGTGACTTGATGCCTGCAACCACAACTGGGTGAGCACACACACTCTTACTCTCTCGTCTCTCACACTCCATAACTTCTGTCTAGAGGTCAGCTCTCACAGGAACCTTCACTACGTAGTCAAGAAGTCCTGATGGAACGAGTGTGTGTATGGGGGGATGAGGGGTATTATTATTATTATTATTTTAATCATGGGGGAGCACTAAACCTAGAGGATTATACAGCGCATATGGAGGGGGATGGAAGTCATTCAGGCTCAATTCTGGGAACTGGAGCACAGACCCAGTTCCCTAGATCAAGAGCCCCTCACCAGCATCAAGGAACCTCCCTTGAGGGGAGGGGTATTAGCAGCCAACACAAATAAAAACTCCGAGAACCAGTCACGGCTGCTCTCCTATATCTCACAAACAAGATACTGGAGAGGTAGTATTCAGATATCACAAGGTTGGTCAGTACAAGGATAATTTTCTCGGTACAAATACTGTATGTGAAAATTTGTCTGGGCTGTCTCCATGTGAGTTGTCTACCCTGGCAAGCTCTGTTGACACCGAGCCCTGAGGCTGGTACCTCAGCCTCACAAGTGGCTTATAGGACAGATTTCCATAAATGACTGATGTTGCAAGAAATCTCGCCGACATGCACGAATGAAGGACTAACTTACTTGGTGTTGGAGAATATATCTCGGTCTTCAACCTCCTTAAGCTTTAGGTCCTCTGGACTTCCCCTCAGAACCACGTGCAACCGGGAGCCTTAATTCCTGCAATATTCAGTCAGTATTAGTGACCTACCTGCACCTCAGAAATTCCTGTTCCAAGGGGGGGGGGGTGTATCCCCTAGTACAACTATGCAGGAAGTGACACTAGCTTCTAAGCTTAACGATGAGGAGACGTCGGAATGTACCGATCATTGGCCGTCCAGCTGCACAAAGACCCACAGTTCAACTCACTCGCAAATTCCCCCCAGAAACTGGCCAGAATACTGAGAAAGAAAGGGAGGTCTCGTCTTACTGTATGGGCCTGACGGAGGAGGTCATCTACGGTACTTCGAGGTGCCTCCACCAGATTTCCCCAGGGCCTAGTATGGGTAGACACGTGGGGTGCCACCCTGATGTTATGGCGGTGTGCCTCTTTCGGAGTTTCGACAAAGAAGGCACTGAGGTCTCAAAACCCCTGCCCGGATGTTCAAAATTGGGCTGCCAGTTCTCCCTAGCTAACATAACCTAGGGTCTGCCTACATTATCGGCCTATTACTACCTACGTTGAGGTCTTAGGTCTACATTATTAATATCTACAGTTGCCTCAATAGTCCTAATATTAGTTCACTAACAGTATAAACTACCTACCTCTTCCTTGAAGGGTAAATCTATAAATTAAAATGTACCTCCCAACCACTTTTGCCAACCCGGGTGTATGTGTGTGTTTTGGGTGGGTGTAAGGACCACCCAACCCAGCCGTTCCATCTGTGACATGTTGGGATCTTCGTACGACGTATCTGTCCTTTAGAACTTTTTAGGACCGAATAAGTTTCCACACTGTAGTTACTTCATTACAAGTTGATAATTACATTCACTTGTTTATTTTCCACTCTGCTATATTGATTTGATTCAGCAGAATAGAAAATGGAGTGTGAAGCACGTCACTGTAATATTTATAATTAAACTGTGAGGAGAGTTCATTGATCAGCTCCAAGAAATTGAAAAGTTCCTTACAGTGATTCTCTTTACTGAGTAAAACAATAAAGTGATACCAAATTTCAGTGGAAAGTTAGTAGTGTTAATTTTCAGTAAACTACTAGACTGGTGGGAGATGTATTAGAGGGATGCTCAGTACTGAGAGATGAAGCTAGGACTCAGTACTCAGGAAGGTGAGAGATATATTAGATGGATGCTCAGTGCTGAGAGATGAAGCTAGGACTCAGTACTCAGGAAGGTGAGAGATATATTAGAGGGATGCTCAGTACTGAGAGATGAAGCTAGGACTCAGTACTCAGGAAGGTGAGAGATATATTAGATGGATGCTCAGTGCTGAGAGATGAAGCTAAGACTCAGTACTCAGGAAGGTGAGAGATATATTAGAGGGATGCTCAGTGCTGAGAGGTGATTGTAGATGAATGGTTCAGAGAACCGACAAGTTGATAAATTAGACACACGTGCAACACTTGGGTATCTTTAATGAGGAAACGTTTCGCCACACAGTGGCTTCATCAGTCCATACAAAGGAGAATCGTGAAGAACAGAATGAGTTTGAGGTAATCAGTCCCTCAGCCTTGAGTCGATGTAACCAGGCCATCACAAGTGTTACACATGTGTCTAATTTATCAACGTGTCGGTTCTCTGAACCATTCATCTACAATCCTGTCAGACACTGCAACTTCTTGGGATCTTAATACTTGGGAATTCTTCACTTGCCTAACCCTTGGGCACGACCTACTTCCACATTGGGCAAATGTGACACCACCTACGACTGCTGCACCTCACCATCTGCCTAGAGTATATAAGCCACTTCGCACATATGTTGTATTCTTTTCAAGATTGATGGACTGATTACATCGACTCAAGGCTGAGGGACTGATTACCTCAAACTCATCCTGTTCTTCACGATTCTCCTTTCTATGGACTGATGAAGCCACTGTATGGCGAAACGTTTCCTCATTAAGATACCCAAGTGTTGCACATGTGTCTAATTTATCAATTGAGAAATGAAGCTAGAACTCAGTACTCAGGAAAGTGGGATATATATTAGAGGGATGCTCAGTACTGAGAGATACAGCAGTTGATCCTCTCACTCACTGTACAACTCGCTTTTCTCTCCTCCTTCACTTTCTTCTCTTCTCCTTCACTACTACTCTCCTCTTTTCATTCTTCTAACCATAATTTAATGATCAGATTGCACGGTTTAAAGAGGGTAATGACCTCATACCAAAACTGAATAATAAGGGTCTAATCACACCTTCCAGTGCCTTCCCATAATAAAAGACTTCGTCAGTGGGTCTACGAAGCAGTGCTGCTGTTCCTTGTATGCAACATACAGTGTATAAACACACGGATATACTACAGGTATAGGTGGTCTCTCGCAGAGGCAGGTGACTTGAAAAAGAAGAAATAAAAAGCTTTTCTCTTATAAATTTAGTAATGTGTACAGGAGAAGGAGTTACTAGTCCTTTGCTCCCGGCATTTAAGTCACCTTTTACGATGCGCATGACTTATGGAGGAAGGAACAAAGAGAAATATATAATATTATACAAAGGGGAATGTATATCGAGGCCTTCCTCAAAGTAGTGATGATTGTCACCTGAATACTGTGCTAATAGCAGTATTTTGCCCTCTGTGTAATTTTGTTTTCCTAAGTTGGCCGATATTTTCTTGACCAGGTTTGACCAGGACATGATGGGGGCGCAGGAGGAACTACGACACGAACGTTCCAATAAGGAGAAGATCCAGAGAGAACGCGATCAGATCCTCTCCGAGAAATACGCCTTCGAACAAGAGGTGACGGTGAGTACACCTTTGCAGTGTTCAATTCTAAGTGCAGTAGTTCACATGTTCCTAGAAACTCATACGTGAAACCAAAAGAAAAATGTCTGATGTCTGGAAACGTAGGGAGGGAGGGAGAGGGTGAGGGAAGACTTGTGATTCTAATGGTCGTGCGTTCTGGAAGGTGTTCACCGTGGATACCTTCACCCTAGCAAATGTGAGGTGTGCACACCCTCAACCTAGCATATGTGAGGTGTGCACACCCTCAACTTAGCATATATAAGGTGTGCACACCCTCAGCCTAGCATATGTGAGGCATGCACACCCTCAACCTAGTATATGTGAGGTGTGCACACCCTCAACCTAGCATATATGAGGTGTGCACACCCTCAACCTAGCATATGTGAGGTGTGCACACCCTCAACCTAGCATATATGAGGTGTGCAAACCCTCAACCTAGCATATGTGAGGTGGCCTGGTGGCTAAAGCTCTCGCTTCACACACGGAGGGCCCGGGTTCGATTCCCGGCGGGTGGAAACATTCGACACGTTTCCTTACACCTGTTGTCCTGTTCACCTAGCAGCAAATAGGTACCTGGGTGTTAGTCGACTGGTGTGGGTCGCATCCTGGGGGACAAGATTAAGGACCCCAATGGAAATAAGTTAGACAGTCCTCGATGACGCACTGACTTTCTTGGGTTATCCTGGGTGGCTAACTCTCCGGGGTTAAAAATCCGAACGAAATCTTATCTTATGTGAGGTGTGCACACCCTCAGCCTAGCATATATAAGGTGTGCACACCCTCAGCCTAGCATATATGAGGTGTGCACACCCTCAACCTAGCATATGTGAGGTGTGCACACCCTCAACCTAGCATATGTGAGGTGTGCACACCCTCAACCTAGCATATGTGAGGTGTGCACACCCTCAACCTAGCATATGTGAGGTGTGCACGCCCTCAACCTAGCATATGTGAGGTGTGCATGCCCTCAACCTAGCATATGTGAGGTGTGCACACCCTCAACCTAGCATATGTGAGGTGTGCACACCCTTAACCTAGCATATATAAGGTGTGCACACCCTCAACCTAGCATATATAAGGTGTGCACACCCTCAACCTAGCATATGTGAGGTGTGCACATCCTCAATCTAGCATATGTGAGGTGTGCACATCCTCAATCTAGCATATATAAGGTGTGCACACCCTCAACCTAGCATATGTGAGGTGTGCACATCCTCAACCTAGCATATGTGAGGTGTGCACATCCTCAACCTAGCATATGTGAGGTGTGCACATCCTCAACCTAGCATATGTGAGGTGTGCACATCCTCAACCTAGCATATGTGAGGTGTGCACACCCTCAACCTAGCATATGTGAGGTGTGCACACCCTCAACCTAGCATATGTGAGGTGTGCACATCCCTCGCCCTAGCATATGTGAGGTGTGCACATCCCTCGCCCTGGCATATGTGAGGTGTGCACATCCCTCGCCCTGGCATATGTGAGGTGTGCACATCCCTCGCCCTGGCATATGTGAGGTGTGCACATCCCTCGCCCTGGCATATGTGAGGTGTGCACATCCCTCGCCCTGGCATATGTGAGGTGTGCACATCCCTCGCCCTGGCAAGTAGGGTCGTTGGACTCTACAGACCAGAAATTAAGTTACAGAAGATTAGAAAGAGTGAGTGTGTTTAACCTTGATCCTTCAACAGTCTCTCTAGACTGAGGATCAGAGAGAGACATCTTCCCTCATAGCAACTGGTTCACAGGTGCTCCTGCCTCCCCTTATGTAGCTTGTGACGTGATGCGCACTCTCGATCTTATTTTAAAAAAATGCCCTCAGATTAGGGTGTTTCCGCCCTCATTGCGGTTTTTATAATTACCGAGGTGCCTGTAGGACCCCGGGGAAGTTTTAGGAGAGTCTTTTGGCATTAATTATTGAATTGGGGTTTTAATCCGTGCTGGTTATTATAACTCGGTATGATACTGTTTGTACAGTGTTTATGTTAGTTGCATTTTTTTGTTTATGTTGTTGACATACTCATCACAGCTCCTAGATGATTCAGCGTCCGTGTACGTCAACATGAACTCAACCAGGTCGAACCTTCTGTCCAACTATCCTACCAGGTCGGGCCTTCTATCAGGTTGAGCCTTCTACCAGGTCGAGCTTTCTACCAGGTCGAGCCTTCTACCAGGTCGGGCCTTCTATCAGGTTGAGCCTTCTACCAGGTCAAGCCTTCTACCAGGTCGAGCTTTCTACCAGGTCGAGCCTTCTACCAGGTCGGGCCTGCTATCAGGTTGAGCCTTCTACCAGGTCGAGCCTTCTACCAGGTCGAGCCTTCTACCAGGTCGAGCCTTCTACCAGGTCGGGCCTTCTATCAGGTTGAGCCTTCTACCAGGTCAAGCCTTCTACCAGGTCGAGCTTTCTACCAGGTCGAGCCTTCTACCAGGTCGGGCCTTCTATCAGGTTGAGCCTTCTACCAGGTCGAGCCTTCTACCAGGTCGAGCCTTCTACCAGGTCGGGCCTTCTATCAGGTTGAGCCTTCTACCAGGTCGAGCCTTCTACCAGGTCAAGCCTTCTACCAGGTCAAGGCTTCTACCAGGTCGAGCCTTCTACCAGGTCAAGCCTTCTACCAGGTCAAGGCTTCTACCAGGTCGAGCCTTCTACCAGGTCAAGCCTTCTACCAGGTCAAGCCTTCTACCAGGTCGAGCCTTCTACCAGGTCGGGCCTTCTATCAGGTTGAGCCTTCTACCAGGTCGAGCCTTCTACCAGGTCAAGCCTTCTACCAGGTCAAGGCTTCTACCAGGTCGAGCCTTCTACCAGGTCAAGCCTTCTACCAGGTCAAGCCTTCTACCAGGTCGAGCCTTCTACCAGGTCAAGCCTTCTACCAGGTCAAGCCTTCTACCAGGTCGAGCCTTCTACCAGGTCGAGCCTTCTATCCAGTTAGCACCTGAAGGGAGAGTCAGTGGCACTACCTTTCCTTGATGTTCTCTGCAAGTATGATCATTAACTATGTTGCAGAGTCTACCGCAAGACTACCAGTCAACACAATCTCAATTTCTGCTTCATGACAACAACATTAATCAACACGATCTTCTCTATCTCTACTCATTCTTCAACAACAACATAAAACAATCTTCTCCATCTCTACTTGTTCCATGACACCAACATTAAATGTGGCGTTCAGTCTTGGTGTTCTCCATATCAGCAGCAGTGAGTTCTTGAACAACAATGTTCTTCCCTAGAACAGATTTTTCTCTGAACTTCACTATCCTCGTCAGTTCATCGGAGACTGCAGGCGTCGTGCACACATCTTCAGTTCACCTACATGAAACACCACAGAAAGAAGATACATAGTACTTTGTCTTATTGCTAAAGGTATCTCCAGTATTTTCTCCAACACTAAATTCCAAGTGTAGACCACTGCTTATACTACAGTCAGGTATATCACCAGTAACGGACACCAATAATAAGTTAGTATATACAATCCCTTGCAACGACTGTAACCCAGTATATGTGGGATAAACTTCAAGAGACTGCAGCACTCGCATTTCTGAACACCAGTATGCCATCAGAATGGACCACCTCAACAACACCAGTATTTTACACTCACAAACTTCCACAACCACTTATATCACCGCGTAGTATCAGAGAACACATGGAAATGCAGAATTCTTGAATCATCACTAATCAGTATATAAAACATCTTCAGCCAGAGGAGCTGAACCTGTTGCCTGGAAGCATCTTGGTCTCTGTACCTCATACATGGCAACAGATCACGCTAGAGAGGAACATTGCAGCAGGTCTACTAGCCCAAAAGATTTCTTTCAGGTATATAGAAGTCAGATTAGGAACAAGATAGGCTCACTCAAAAGTAACTCAGGTCAGATTACTGTCAGTGATAGGGAAATGTGTAAAATTTCCTCTCAGTTTTTTCGCAGGAAGATACTAGTGAAATGCCAGAAATAATAAATTATGTAGAACAGAACGATAATAAACTATGCTCGATTAAGGTAACTAGTGACATGGTCCTCAGACAAATAGAGAAATTAAAACCTAACAAATCCCCAGGCCCTGATGAATTGTTTGCAAGGGTTTTAAAGGAATATAAAGAGGAACTTAGCAAACTTATGGCTAATCTTTTCAACATATCACTACGAACTGGCATAGTGCTAGACAAGTGGAAAATGGCAAATGTGATACCTGTTTACAAAGCAGGAGACAGGTTCTTAGCTTCGAACTATAGACCAGTAAGCCTTACCTCCATATTGGGAAAAATTTGTGGAATCAATAATTGCCGAGGCAATTTGTAGCCATCTTGAAAGGCATAAATTGATTAATGAATCTCACCATGGTTTTTACAAGGGGGCGTTCCTGCCTTACGAATTTACTAACTCTTTTCACTAAGGTATTTGAGGAGGTAGATCATGGTAATGAATATAATATTGTGTATATGGACTTCAGTAAGACTTTTGATAGAGTTCCACATCAGAGACTATTGAGGAAAATTAAGTCACACGAAATAGGAGAAATTTTTTCCTGGGTAGAGGCATGGCTGACAGATAGGCAAAGTGAGTTTGCATAAATGGAATAAATCAGAGTGGGGAAGCGTCATGAGTGGTGTTCCACAAGGGTCAATGTTGGGCCCCATGTTGTTCACAATTTACATAAGCGACATAGATGAGGGAATAAATAGCGACATATGCAAGTTTGCCGATGACACCAAAATAGGTCGCCTAATTCATTCTAATGAGGACATTAGAGCACTCCAGGATGATTTGAATAGACTGAAGCAGTGGTTGGAGAAGTGGCAGATGCAGTTTAATATAGACAGATGCAAAGTTCTTAACATTGGACAAGAAAATAACCATGCCACATATAAACTAAATAATGTAGATCTTAATATTACTGATTTGTGCGTTCTGTTTAGCAGTAATCTGAAAGCAAGACAACAGTGCATAAGTGTTCGCAATAAAGCTAGCAGAATCCTTGGCTTCATATCAAGAAGCATAAATAATAG